TTGAGATCCACGCCGAGGATGCGGTCCATGTAGGTCGGGAGCATGGTCATCAGTGTCTCGTAGCCATAGTTCTGCCCGGCATGGGCCACCATGATGGCCCAGAAGAAGCGCGACCTGGCGAAGGCCAGGAACGGGGTGCGACCAGTGTCCTCTGGCTGGGCCTCCCAGATGCTGTCATCGATGTACTTGCACTCCGTCTGGCTGATCCCCTTGCACGACTTCGGACTCTCGTGCACCAGCCAGAGGAAGAGCACACACCAGACGGTGGTGAGGATGCCAAAGACGTAGAAGATCGAGGGCCAGCCGCCGTCGAAGCCATACTCGGCCAGCAGACCGCTCAGCGGCATCGAGACGATGGTCCCAAACTGGGCGCCCGCATAGACGGCGGCACCTGCCCGTGAGCGCTCGTCGGGCGGTATCCAGAGGGCCAGCATGGAGTGGGTGCACGGCACAATGGGTCCCTCGCCCAGGCCCTGGATGAAGCGCACAATGCCGAGGGGCACGGGGCCACCTTCGCGGGCCGAGACAGGCACCACGAAGGCTGCCACCGAATTGAGCATCATGCCCCAGCCGAGAAACTGCTTGGCGCCGTAGTACTTGATGAGAAAGCCAAAGGGTATCTGGGTGAGAACGTAGCCGTAGAAGAAGCTGGACAGGATGTAGCCCTGCGTCTTGTAGCTCCACCCAAACTCTCCGCCCTGGCTGTGATGATGATCGCTCCCAATGGCCGAATGATTGACCATTGCCACAATCGCCACGGACATGTTGGTGCGCATCACATACGCATTGGCCATGCCCAGGAAGAGCATGAAGATGACAAAGTTGCGTTTCTTCAGGTGCATCGGTATATCGCTGTCCTTCAGGTAGCCTCCTTCCGACACAGTCTGTTCGGGTGGCATATCTCTCGCCGCAGCACTCCCTGATGTTGATGTTGATGTTGATGTTGATGACGATGGCTATGATTGTCTTGCTGGATTCTACTGGGCTGAGTGTCTGCCGCCTCCCGCTCCTTCTTTCCTTACTTTCTTTTCATTCATTTGTTTGATTCAGAGAGAGAGATAGAGAGAGAGAGAGAGAGAGAGAGAGGGTGTGTGTGAGAGTGTATTGGCAAAGGTAAATTGTTGCTCAGTTACGAGTTGCTACAGTCCCCTTGTAGCATAGCAAATGCCGACTTAATCGACACCCCCAATCCATTCCAACCTTCACACTAGATTACGCCGAGCAGACAGCCATGAGGCATAAACCAGAGGCCCCCGCCCACCCAGCGATTTCTTTGAATGAGCAAAACAAACCGTGGGAAACCCTTTTGCTGCTCCAGGATTTTGTCATATCAATTTCGAATATTTTATGGCAAGCAAAGGGAAACCCACGATGAGCAGAGGAATTGAATTGAATTGAGTGAGCCAGCAGCCAGCAGCCAGCAGCCGAGTGTATATTATGAAATTTAAAGCAAACAACAAGGATGCAAAAATTGAATTTGTGCCGAAGGAAGGAAGGTGTTGGCAGGCCATTCAATTTGTTCCGCCAAGTGGCGACCCTGCCGCCGCCTCTTCCCCCCTCTCTGTAAAGCACTCTCAACTCGATGCAGTATTTATTTTGATTTATTATAGATTCAAATTAATAGCAACTGAAGCTGAAGCAGCACTAACTAGACCCATTCCAGCGTGAACTCTGAAGTAATTCGCACAAAAAACCAATCGATTAAAATACAGAAAATATAATAATGGCACCTCGAGGCACCATTAATACCGTGAACAATAATTGAGGGGCAAAAAATATTTCCACATCGAAATCGAGTAATAAGTGTCTGCATTTATGTATGTGTGAGTGCTGCACTGTGGCATTCATGAGATAATGATGAGAAGGCCAAGAAAAAAACAAAGAACCCGCGGCACAGTTGTTGTTATCCTTGTTATCCTGCGAATGCTGCCCGGAATGCTGTTTATCCCCTTAAATAAAGACCACTTATTCGGAATCAGTCAGTGCACTGCTTTACCATCTCTCTGCTGCTTACAGCACGGGGATTATACACACACACACACTGAGAGAACTCCATGACTAGTCCGTAAATAACTTTGCATTTTTCACCGAAAACTGCGTACAGCTTCCCATAACACAACCTGCCACTCCCCCACTCACCACTTGCCACTTGCCACTGCTCCCCCTTTCAGGCACTGCTGAGGGAAGAGATTATAAGCAGCAGCCATGCTGGCAACATCGTTATCCGTGGCCGATTGCCCCGTGCAGCCCATCCAAGGACGTCGAGCCCGTGAAGACACCTTTGCGGTTGACCTGAGACGAGCACAAGCCATCCATCCAGCCAGCCAGCCAGCCAGCCAGCCAGCCATCCGTATTATGCGCTTACACAACTCCGCAGATGTACGTACGATGAAGCAGCTCTGGGAGTGTGACTGTGGCTGTGAGTTGAGTTGAGTTGAGTTGATTACGTATACGCAACGTTTGGTCGCCGCGTACTCACATGAGTTGATTACGACACAAGCAGCGATGTACACACAGAGCAGGGGCCCATCCGAATGCGTGCCAAGTAATTTGCATAAGCCGCGAATCAGAGGGCCACACACAGACAAAAAGACAGAGAGATACATTCGAGAAAGGATCAAAGAAGGTGACGACGATGCTGCCAATGGGCAACAAACAACAAACGGGGACCAGCGATAACAATAACGATAACGATGGTTTACTGAGGCATTTAAATATAATGAAGACTCTCCTCTCCCTCCCTCTCTGTCTGTTTTGCGTGTTTTGTGTGCTGTCAGAGTGGCTTTTCCATACGACTCTGTAACAGTTTTTGTTTTGTAGCTTTCGGAAATTCATATCGGTTTGCCTGCGTCAGTCATGAGTGGCCGCGCCAATAGTCGTATAACCTGTGAGCTGCATGCAACGCGGCAGCAGCTGTGGGGTGGACCCAATATGTGCGGCCACCAGCTGACCGGCACTGAGTGCTGGCTGCTGCATCCCGTGGCCAGGGAGGACACCATGACCAGCCTGGCCCTCAAGTATGACACCAGCATTGGGTGGCTCTGTCGCGCCAATCGCATGCAGTGGAGGGATGTGCTGCTGACGCGTCGCCACGTTTGGGTGCCTCGCCGCATGCAGCTGGACCCTGGCATGGCCCCCACTGAGCCGGCCCAACCGCGGGTAACGCGCATCCTGAATGCTGCAGTGTCCTACGCGAGCCAACGCCAGAACTACGCCAATACGGATGAGTTTGCCAGGGATCGGGATCCTTTGCTGATCACCAGCGAGCACCACATGTCGATTGAGGAATAACTGATAAAAGCGCGGCACTCCGATAAGGGAAATCTCTTTTAGTCTCGCTCAGGTTCTGCTGCTGGTAGCCATGGGGATCCTCTCTTGCTTTGCCACTCAATCATGGTGCCAGCTTGTAGTGCCACTTGAGAAGCCTCACAGTGTACGGTCCACAGTCTGCGTAAAAAATCGACTAGCCTTAGGCTCGGGCCTCAGCCTCAGCCTCAGAGTGTGCATCCGTGTACCCGTTTGATGGGCCAATCAATCTGAGAGCAGGATTCAGGTGCCACCACCATACAGGACAGAGCGGGAGAGCGGAAGAGTGGGAGAGTAGAAGTGGTGGCCACAAAGGCGCGAAGCTGCAAAAGGGAAGGGCTCCACTCTACTCTACTCTGCAGCACGCTGCCCTGCCGCCTGGTGTGTTGATTAGAAACCCCAAGGCGCACGCTGAGAAATTGGTTCTTAATTGCTGCAAAAGTGATTTTGCCGCAAACAGGATGCAATTAAGACATTATAATTCACGCGCTGAGAGCCGACCACCCCTGAACTCGACACTGAATCCTCCTGACTCTGTTCCGCAGTGTCAGTCTCAGTCAAACACATTCAAATGCGAATATTAACTAATCCCTGCCAGCCATTGCCATTTCCAATGCACCAATCCAGCCACCCAAAAGTGAGAGCTGCTAAAAAAAGGACAATGTGCGGGGAGGATATGCGTACGTGCTCGTGTGATAAATTCACATTTTCCGGCTGACAAGCAAGAGCCGGGCGCCAGCAGGCGGCAGGACAATCGCCTGCATTGATAGACACTGGACGTGAACATGAATGTGGGACGTGAGTTGTGGGACGTGGAAGGTGAAGCCAGGTGAAATGGCAGCCGTGAAACGTAGCGGAACGCCGGTGTCAAAAAGGAAGTGCCAACAAAAAACGACAGACAGATGGACAGACAGACAGAGCGAAGCCCAAAAAATTTCAGAGGCACCAATGGGTGTGCGGATGTGAAGCGACGACAAGGAAGACGACGACGACCGTGGGTCACATTTTGTGCCTTTCTGACAGACACAACTTTGAAATTGCTCTGATTATGCGAAGAGGCTGAAGGGCTGAAGGGCTGAAGGGCACCCTGGCACACACCAAACTCTCCAGACACGAGACTCAATGGCATGTTGACAATGATAACGAAGTTGGTCATGGCTCTGGCTCTGGCTCCCGTCTCTCTCTGTCTCCGAACAGTTGAATGGGGGGGAGTGGGTGGTGCAGAGGGTAAAACAAAAAGAGGGATGCGAGGAAGAGTCATGGTGGGGAGAGAGGGAGGGAGCATCTCCAAATATCAAATGTCGCATGCCGGCATTAATATTTCATGAGAAATCATAGTTTGGTGATGCGTATAATTCAAAGGAATTGCAATCTGAATTAATTTTGAATCCCAAGGACTCTCTGCTTCCGCTTTCAGGTATTTCGAAGGACTGCCAGTCCCACGGGTGGCCATTGCACTGGACTGCTGGGGCTGCTCTGGCTGCTGGGGTTCCTATTAAAAAATTGGGAATTTCTATTGATTTGCCATCGAATTTACATGGATTTTGCTACCTAGAACTTTTAGTGGGTCAGTCGTGTGTGTGTGTGTGTGTGTGGCAGCCTGACTGCATGCCTCTGCCTGCCTGCCTGCGTCCCATAACTTGATCTGGATGCCAAAATGTTGGCTTCATAAAACTTTAAGGGCCAATGAATGC